AATGCTTCAGATCCGCTTGTGGATATAAAGCAAACATCTCAAGGTTGGAATAGTCATTTCTAATATGAAGATACAAGATATGCTTTTATATTAAAATGAAAGGAACATGCGTGTTTACTAAGAACTAGTGGGAGGATAGTGATATTCCTAATCTTGTATGAGTGAGACATACTTAACCATTTGAAATCATATTCTGACTATGCAAGGTCGTTTCACCTTGACTCTGAAGGTATTTCAAAAATGAAAGATTTAGGAATGAAAAGATACATTCTTGGAATGTAAAATCCATAGAGATAGGTAAAGATGAATGTTAAAAGTTTTAAATTCTTTTGCATTAATTAACGATATCTTGAAAGAGGTAAAGATACAAGATTCCTTTGGAGAACTCTTAGCATTGTCACATGACACCCTTTTGAGTATGTCTCAAAAGGACCTAACACATAGGTTTGAGCTAGATAAAGTGGTTTATATTCTATTTTCTTGGAAAATGAATCCAACATTTATGTCATATTATGCATAGGACTAAGTATATAATTATGCTATGAACATATCATGAGATACAAATTGAATACATGTTTAAGTCACTAGATGACTATAAAAACATTCTAACAGTAGCTAAGAAGAACTAAGAGAATGTTCATGAGATAATCAGTTTGGAAGAAGATCTTTATGTAAAGAGCTACATAAGATTCTAACTTCAAAACGAATATATATAATTATGAATTATAATTAGATTATGACTTCATTATAGAATGAATAGTATGTTTTGTAGGAATGAGGTCCGAACAAAACGACATTGCACAATATACTAAATAAGAATACACTACTACTTTAGAAGTTGAAATCAAATATGATTAGATGAATGAGTTCATTGAAAAACTATGTTGATTTCTGCCATTCAAGGATCACATAGAAATCTTTGTGACTTCGATAGTATACTTAATCAAGCTAAGAGACTCTATTTCACGAAAGAACACCAATCATATTCTCCAAGATATTTAACTATACCTAGAGTAATGTCAAATATGGAGATGATAGTATTCGCAGAATTCATACAAATTATATTTACCCATTAATAAAGCCTTTTAATTCAAGCTAAGTATGAATGGTCACACTTTAGCTATAGGACTTCATTATTCTAGAAATGGGATTTTGATTTGGATATTGGAACATTGTAACAACAAGTAATACATAATGTTTTGATATACTGGGATATGATCATCACCTTAATACTTGTTGTGTTCTATATTAACATGTTTAATCCACGAATAATCTTATTATTCTAAAAGTTCATAGTCGGTTATAATTATGTGAGCAGTTATGAAGTAAGACTAATATGAATTGGATTGGTTGACTCTCACTAGATGAAAGTAGGCAAGTAGTTGTAACCAAGTTTCATAGGTACTTGTTAAAGAACTAGTATTAAACTGACCTGCATCAAGATCAAGTCATAGATTGCAGTTATGAGTGATACTTTATTAAAGGTACTATCTTTGTGTCCTTAACACCTGGGATACATAGTGGGACTTAAGTGTAGGGAGTGATGTGCTTTGATATGGTCAATTGTTGATCCTTAACGGGGCAGTTATAAAATCCATTTTCAAGTATGGTGTGAACTATACAAATGGCTTATGTAGTCAAGATGAGATTTGTTCCTCTTATGTGTTGAGAGTTAGACATCTAACACGAGTTACCCAAAGTTGAACTACAAATGAGATTGATTGCGATCCAGGTCTCATGTTCAATATGATGTCTGTAACAAAGGGATAACTGATAAACTTACCTTATACATCAATTAAAGATTTTAGCTTTTGGGAATTGGATGTTGAAAGAATATTTCATTTCTATTTGTTGCTTAAACTTCAATTCTTTGAGAATTCTAACAAAATATTATCTACTTTACTTCTAACAGAATATTTCAACACAAGTATAAACATGTTACCTTAACATATTCTGACAGAATCTTCCCAATAAGTCCAACATATCAAACTTGCCTCTTTTACACAAAAATTTCTCTTTTTGACATTATATCAAACACTTGGAAGGCATGTTTTATTATCAACATTCAAAAAACCAACAGTACAAGCAACATTCAAAAACATTAATAATCGAAAAAATTGATTCTTGATTCTGATTCACTTCCAAAATCACAACTAGAAGATAGAAAATTTGAGTGCAAAAAATGAATTGGTAGATATTTAGATTTTTTTTAGTATCAGAAGAAAAAAATGAATTGGTAGATATTTAATAGTTTTTTTTAATCAATGAAATCTAATTAATTTCAAACAAAGACAAAAGAGAAATCAAACCAATGGAGAATCGTACCTGATAGCTTGAAGACGACTCTGAAAACTAAACCTGATTATCGTGGAAGAAAGTAGTAGTTGGCGGTGGTATTAGGTGGGAATGCTGGTCGGCGATTGGGAAGGAGGCGTTGAAGATGGAGATCGCAGCACGAGACGATGATGATGAGGGATGCAGAAGAGTTTGTCGATGATGAAGAACATGCTCTCTTACACACACAAACACAAGTGGGGTGAGGGAAAAAGAACGGCCGTAGATAAATATGGGAGAAATTAGGGTAAAAGTCAATGTAACTAGATTATAGGAAATATTTATGGACTTTATATATCAAATTACTAAACCACCATTATTATTTATTTATTTTATTTATTATTTTCTGAATTCTCATTGATGCATACATACCATATATATATATATATATATATAGGGGAGTAAACGAACCGAACGAACACGAACAAATGCTTGTTCATGTTCGTTCGTTTAAGTTAACCGAACAAATGAACGAACACGAACGGAGTTTTCTTGTTCATGTGCGTTCCTTTAACAAATTGTCTTGTTCATGTTCGTTCGTTTATGTTCGTGAACATGCTAAACGAACATAAACGAACGAGCATAAACCAACAAATATAAACAAACACAATTGAACATATATGAACATAAACGAACTATAATATAGTAATGTAATAAAAAAACAATTGAAAATATATGAACATAAAAAAACGTAAACGAACGAACATAAACGAACAACATAAATGAACGTTCACGAACGAAACCATTGTTCATTTTCGTTCGTTCAACTAAACGAACGAGAATTTGTGTTCATGTTCGTTTGTTTATTCAATAAACGGACTCCTCGCGAAACAGTTCACGAACGGTTCGCCGAACGTTCAGTTCGTTTACAGCCTATATATATATATATATATATATATATATATATATATATATATATATATATATATATATATATATATATATATATCTATATATATATATTGTAGGGACACTTATATTTTATAATCTTATAAATCCAACATGAGTGGGGCATTGTCATACTGGTAGACAAACTGTTTCGTATGGTCATATTTTTGTATTATATATATATATATATATATATATATAATATATAATATATATATATATATATATATATATATATATGGGGAAAAGTTCAAATAGAGAATCATTATTAATCAAGCAACCAAGGAACCAATCCAAAGCGTCGAAATTTAAAGCGATCAACGGCAAAATGAAGGGTTGTAGACTTTTACAATGTACGCACATGCACCGGATTATAACAAAACTCACTTCTTTTTTTTCGTTTAAAATTTGTTTAGGCCATGTTTTTTATCGAAAAAAAAACCGAGTATACCGTTCATCACGATTTTTCGTCCTCTTTCCAAAGAGATTCATGATGATATATAAAAAACAATTTTTTTTTCCGAAAAAAACTCACTTAATTTTCTTTGTTCAAAAGTTAAGGTCTATTTTTTTATAAAAAAGAATTAATAAATATATCAAAATTCATGTTTTTTTGTACTTTTTAAACATAGATTCATATTCATGTAAAAAAAAGATATTTCAGTTCAGATTCATATTGTGAACCTGTTCAGATTCATATTCTGAACCTGTTCAGATTCACATTGTGAACCTTCTCAGATTCATAGCGTGCATAATAGTATGTCATATTCACAATGTGAATCTGAACTGATCGAGCTTTTTCACATTGTGAATGTTAAAAATTGAAATATTTACAGTTTAGATTCACAGTGTGAATCTACACTGATCGAGGTTTTTTTTTTTTGAACCTTTTCAGATTCATAGTGTGCATAATAACAAGTCAGATTCATAATGTGAATCTGATCTGATCGAGCTTTTTCACATTGCGAATGTTAAAATTTGAAATATTACAGTTTAGATTCACAGTGTGAATCTACACTGATCGAGTTTTTTTTTCTAGTCGGTGTTGATGTTTATTAATAGAGTACAAAAAATTAATATTTTTTGGTATAATTAATTTTTTTTTTCATAAAAATAAACTTAAATATTGAAAAAACTAACAAAATGAAGTGAGTTTTTTTCGAAAAAAAAAATTCGTTTTTTATATAATCATGGATCTCTATGGAAAGATGACGAAAAATCGAGAACAACGGTATATTCAGTTTTTTTTTTCGATAAAAAACGTGGCCTAAAAAAAAATTTAAACGAAAAAAAGAGATGGTTTTGGTAAGGAGGTGGATTTTTTGGTATAATCCGGTGTGTGTGCGTCCAATGTACAAATGTACATCTCTTTCCTTGGCCGTTGATCATTATGATTTTCGACGCTCACAATTGGTTCATTGTTTCTTTGTTAATTATGGTTTTTCTATTGAACCTCAATATATATATATATATATATATATATATATATATATATATATATATATATATATATATATATATATATAAACCAAACCATACCAACTTAAACGAAACCCGACATATTAGTATGATTTCTAATTTGATTTTCAAATTATTTTAGTGAAAGTGATAGTACATCATTTATAATAATATCATTTCTATAAATGAGTGTTATGATTTTTGGTATCAATGACTTTATGATGCTTAAGCTTAACCTCATCATCCTACTCTTGATGATATGCATTTTGGTGCCTTTTGTAATCCTTTTTATACACAGTGATATTGTAGTACAATAAATAAACAAAACAAATTTCAAAATCAAACTTTAAACGTCAAACAATCAATACACCTGTGTCTCCAACTAAAATCGGGTTCATCAACCCTATATAAATAATGATAATAATAATAATACACATATTTTAAATAAACATGAGATTATTGGTTTCCAATCAAGAAAAAAAAAAACAAGAATCAACACCACCTCTCTCTTTGTGTCTCTCTCTCACCTCAACACGAGTTTCATATGAGATTAATAGTGAAGGAGACATAAGGATGAGTGTCAGCTTCACCGCCCAACCCACCCATGCTTCCTTCTTCATCGGTTTTCCAAAACGTGCTGTAATTCACATATGTCACCATAAATTAAAAAATATTTTTTTTAAAAAAAAAAAAAAATTTAATCACATGGTTCTGAATCACGTTTATCACGACAGTTTCAGAGATAATTAAATGGTGGAATGGACCACTAGTAGAATCTAGTATCTGTTCTTTCCTATGTTATTGAGTAGGAGATCCAGGTTTTCTCAGACTAACTATTAATATTGCAACAGTTTTTATTAGTCAGAATGATTGTGTGAAATTAACCACTCATTTTTTTTTAGTTGTTTAGTGGAAAGATGTCAGGGTTACCTGTTGGAACTGTCGCATAGGGTTTCAAGGAGTGTACGTACTTTCTTCTCGTTTTTCACAGATGGTGACAATACAACAGACTGAAATTTATTAAAAAAAAAAAAAGAGTAAATGTTTAAGCAGATTTTTGAATCATTGTTTTATATAAGAAAAGAAAAGGAAATTGGAAGTTGGGATGTTTGGTTGAAATACCAAAAAGGAAGGGGGCAAGCCGTATCTCAAAATGGTCTCGGAAAATAAGCGGACAGCACAGAAGTGCATCCAGGAAGTGAAAACCTGCAGGATATAAAATTGATGAATTATTAATAAGTGGGTAAAATATAAAATTGGTATAATTGTTAGAGAAAATGTAACGTGGGAGTATAAAAGATTCATTATTACCACTACATGATGAAACTGGTAAAGAAGACGCAACAGAAACCAATCACTATTTGAAATTTGTTAGAGATGATTTTTTTCACTATTTGAAATTTGCATGTTTACAAAAATATTAGAAGTTTTATAGGCTTTTGCATAGGTAGTGAGTGTTGGTTACTTGTTATGGGTTTTACTAAATTTACTTTAGTGAGTAGACTTAATGTGATAGGCCTTGTTGAGTTGTGGAGGAAAACCCAGTTTAGGGCTTGGCCCATATGTGGATATTTTCAGCTCATTATCAACTTATAAATGTACTGTGTAATGTGAAACTATACCCCTATCCTAATTTTGAGATTAATAAGGGAGAGTTGCTAATTGCAAATGGTGTATCTCGGTGTTATTATATCACTTATTTCTATTATTTTATGTTTAGCGAAACTAGTATTTTTAAATGTGTTTGTGAGTTAATTGATGTAGAAAAACAAGCAAGCAGATCATGCCCCATTTTTTAGAACCAAGCAAGGAAAATTTTATACTAGAATGAAATAATCAAAAAGGTTATTTCCAGCCTAAGCAGGATGCTAAGAGAGTTGAGCATCTCACATTCACCAGGTCTTGTCCCTGCATCTTGCCTTGCGTCTCTTGCAGAGCAATTTTCAGGTTAACTTTGTCTGGCAGCCAAGTCATGTAATGTGCAGGCGCATTTTTATAGGATTTCACAACTGAAAATGTGATAGATTGTCACATTCTGTAGATATAAATATCGTCAAAAATAGAGTTCGTATGAAGAAGTTACGACCGCCTGAAGTTGGGATAAAAGTACGTTGCTATTCTTAGAAAGTCGACGAAAGTCGAAGTTAAACGGTCGGATTCGGTTTGTCGCAGCGCGACTTAGTTCTCACCGCGGCGCGGAGGTGAAGAGGTCACCGTGACATGTGGCAACATCTAAGACATGTAATAAATTTTCGGAGAAAAGCATGGCCGCAACACGGCAGCTAGAGCATAGAAATAGTTGTTGTTTGTGTGTGGTTCAATTTTTTTTGGGCACACGCAGTCGGGGGAAAGGCTCGAGAGGTGTTTCCGGAGACTTATCACCGCAGAGTTGTACTAGTGTACGGGGGTATGAAGGTTGAGTTACGAGATAAGTCGAGGTACTTTTATCTCTTTATTAATTACGTCGTATTTTGTAGTGGGTTGTTAGACCCCAAGTGTATTACGGGATTTCATAATACGAGACTATTACGAACCAGGTGATTAGTTAAATGTTAATCTCATAGGTAAGGGTTATACACCCTAGTTTACCGAGATTTATTTGATTGGGTTAGCAGCTTACAGGGTTAAGTCGTTAGGTGATTATATATGGAAATTTGACTAGTTTGGTGACATTTGGTGACATAGTTACCGAGTCTAGTTAGTGATCAGGTAATTGATCACTATGGTTGATATATGGTGAGACTAGACAAGTTCTAATGAACTTGATATATTGTCCAAATAGGTCTGGACAAGTGATGAATTGGAAAGCAGCACAGAGTTGGATACTAGAATGATAGTTAGTCTTCACTAACTAACCTGGCGGGTAACCACGCTTCTTTCTAGATATATGTTTATTATTTAATTGCGTTAATTTCGTGATAAATACAGTATTATGTCTATTGTATAGTAGGATGTTGGTGTACCATAAGTGTAGAAATATGTGCTAGACTTATGGTTTTAAAAATTAAAAAAAAAACAAAACGTACGCCATAAGGCGATTTGGACACAACGTACATGAAGCGTCGCTTCATGGGGTACAAATGATACGTACGCTTCTTACCGGTGAATCGTATAGTTTAAGGTAAAAGTGGTATGTTTGGTGTTGTAATTACCACTATGTTGGAATTGGTTATTAGTGGTACGCTTAGTGTTATAAATAACTTACATCATTGTATTATCTTCAATGCAAATATTGATTGTAGTGTGCTTAGTGCTAGAAATACCACTGTAATAGATTATTGTTAGTTATGATAGTCTTGGTGACTGTAACATCATGGACTAATATAGTAGTGGCTTTGGCGATTGTAACACCACGATATTGAGAATCAGTTATTAGTAGTCGTCTTGGTGACTATAATATCACTCTATTATAATCAGTAATTAGTGGTGGTCTAACATCACTATCTTAGAATCAGTTATTAGTGGTTGTCTTGGTGACTATAACATCACTATATTATAATCAGTTATTAGTGGTGGTCTTGGTGACTGTAACATCATTATATTAGAATCAGTTACTAATGGCGGTCTTGGTGACTGTAACATCATTATATTAGAATCAGTTATTAATGATGGTTTTGGTGATTGTAACATCGTTGTATTTGGATTAGTTATTCGTGGTGGTCTTGGTGACTGTAACACCACGGTTTTATGAGAGTGTATAAATGTTTGTATCTTAGCATTGCAATTTAATAGTAACCTTGGTGGCTGGAATACTATACTCATGAAAGAATATACTGTAGTGAAAGTTTGAATGGCTATAATGTCAACGAGTAAAATATTGAATCGGATAAAATTGGTACATCGTGTAGTATGGATACTACTAAGATGAGGTGATGTGTAGCTTCTGTGGCTTTAAGTCTACTATGGAAAGTTAATGGTTAGAACAGCAGCTTTGGAAGCTGTAAACTTGATTATTGGAGAATTATACACTAGTCAATTTGAGTGTATGTTGGTCGATTGAAAGACATTGATGATATATATCTAGTTGTGCAACTATTTTATATCTTATTATACAAGTTGTGTATGTCTTTCAGGTTCAAGTAGACTTGTAGAAAGAAATGGAGTTAGTAGCACTCGACTTGGATACTTATACGAGGTTATTGTAAGATTCTTTTGATAACTACTTTGTACTAATTTGTCATACGAATGTACAGCAAATTTGTTATGATTCATGTTTATAAATGAAAATTTTTAGGTGTAATTCGTATTAAAAGTCGGGTGTTACAATAAGGGAGTATTTATTCACATTTTTTATTGACAAACATGTGTAAACTTGCCGTCCTCCAAAACATGATTTATTCCTTTGATTCTAGCATAGGCTAAACATTCTTTGTTAGGAGAACGGTGGAATTTAGCATAAGGTAATTGAGTATCAATTACATACCTCTTTTGTTGGTAACATTTGTTCGTTGAGTTGAAAATCTTGTACTTAAAGCTTTGATCGGTCATCTTGCAATGATTTATTGGTTATGGTTTGCTTGAAAGAGTGATTATAATTTGACGTGAGATATTTAACCTAGGGTGAATGGGTGATACATCAAGATAAATAGAGATAGAGGAAGTCCTAACACCATGTGTAACATTCCTATGTTTAATGAGTACGAGTTGTCTGTGGTAATCGAGAGACATAACACATCTTCTAGTAAGCATTCTTGTTACACCTCGACAAAGGGTAGTGAGGAAATTAGGGTTTGTTGCTAGTATGAAATAGAAATAAGATATTCGTGATGGATGCTAAATGAAATTAGATGTCTAACTATCCTCCCTTTGATAGTCCTCAATATGTGCTTCCTTTAGTTCATTACTTGTCTTCTAGCTTATTTCATGTTGGTGCTTTTATAAACCATCCAAATTAATCATCATTCGGTTGGAGGTTGCTATTTTTCTTTGTGGTAGTTGACAACCTAAGTTCCTTGGTTTTAGAAAGCATGATGCGCTCCAATGCGCTTACAGTCTTGGAGGCCAATGCACGGGCATCATGAATACGAGGCGCACAAGTAGTCACTAGTGAAGTAGAATGCATAATGCATGATTACCAACTAAAATAATACTTAATAAAACACTATATAAATAGAAAATGCTCAATGCCACAATGGTTAGGGCATTGGATAGAAAATGCTCAATGCCACAGCATTGGATAGAAAATGCTCAATGCCACAATGGTTGCAGCATCTGAAGACTATGTTTTGATTCAATCCCCAGTTAAATTAACGCTTATCACCATGACCACGGTTGTTGCTACGGGAGTTCCCTCGACATCCACAATTACCACGGTTAATAATGGATTGTCGAGATTCGTAGAAGACTTGAGAGTCGGAGGGTGCGAGGCCAGTACGTGTTATGGGTACTAGTTAGAAGTCGAGAGTGAATGCAATAGGACCAAGTTGAGCAACTAAGGATGATAAAGAGCCATAAGATTTGTTAGCATCGATGTTGGTGGCTTGGAAGGCCTGAATGGTGGGCGAGTTGGGGTTACGAGTCTTCCCACGCATGAAATTGTGATCATTGAGTAGGAAATGAAGTTCACTAAAGACGGTGGGTTATAAGGTTTTTATTTTTTACTAGGTTGCCTATAATAGCAAGAGCATTGCTATATTCTTGTGCACGATTTTTCATCTCCATATTCAGAAGTTAGGTCGTAAGTGGGTTTTCTATAGAAGATAAGTGGTGTATGTAGGCTTGTTTTAGAGCAAGCTATAGATTACAAGAAGCGATACCTTGACATGACAAAAGGATGCTTTAGATATGGTTAAGATAATCAACATACATAAATGCGCATCATTGGAGATCCATATTAGGTAATTAGGATTGTCCCTTGTCTGATTTTCGATCGACATTGGCAACATGTGCTAGGAGATGTTTGGGTGGCCAATGAATTATGTTGTCCACGTAGCCAAATACCATGTATGTAAAGAGGAAAGGATGGATCATGGCCTTCCAGTAACCATAGTTCATTCGAATGAGTATAAAGGCAAACTTCTGATGTCAACAACGGTAAAATTGGCAAGGAGAGTTATGGTTGTTCGTCGAACGAGATGAAGGGATAAAAATAACAATGAACAGCAGTGTAGATCAACTATAATGGTGAATAGTTCAAATGAATAATGATAACAATAATTATGAATAGTGTCGTTGAACAGTAACCCCTAAAATTTTCAAAGTAGGTCATCGGCCGATGTTGTAGTCAACGTTGGGGATTAGCCCTAGGTTTTTTTAAGTTAGTGCTAGAAGTAAAACCATAGGCTCTGATACCATTAAGGATCGTATAATTGTGTATTGTATATAATGAATATAATAAGTTACATGAGATCTTTGTATATAAAGATAAATATTAAACTTAAGTACCCTCTTATTGACATGCACAACATTGGAGATCCAAATCGAAAGTGGTGGGAGATGTTCGGCTAGATAAGGAATTGTCTTGTCCGTGTAGTCAAACAAGTTATGAGTGAGGAGGAAGGGATGAATCATGGCCTTCTAGTAAGCATAGTTGGTTGGAGTAAGAGTGAAGGTAAACTTGTGAGTGCATAGGTGAAGTTGGCGAGTAGAGCCATGGTTGGCAGCAAAAAAGGGGAGGAACTAGTACAAACGAACAATACACATGAACATTACACGATGTCTGTTGTCAGCAGCGGTGGTGACGGTAAACCCTAATTTTTTTAGGGTTGGTGGCATCGGAAACCCTAGGCTCTACTACGATAAAGGGTCATGTAATTGTGTGTTGTACTGAAATGAATATAATAGGTTACAAGAGCTATGTATATATAGATATTAATATTACACTTGAGCATCCTTTAGTCTAAGGTAATTACAAGAATGTCTAAAAATAGCCAGGGGAGGCCCCACTTGCTTTTTTAGGTTGTTACTTACTCTATAGTTAATTGAAGAGAAAAGTTAATAGCTTTTTAACTATATTTTATTTAAAGTTGCAACTAGCAGCACATTTTTATTTTTATAGGGCTTCATTCAAATATTACTTCCTTTACAGTTTGTGATATATTTTTGGCATAAAAATGTTCTTATTTCTTAAAGTCAACTACATTTTATATGATGAATCTACACATACTTCATGCTTATTAATAACTATTATTATTTCCATCGAGGCTTCACCCAAATATAAACACAAACAAATAATCTAATCATAAATAAACCTAATTAAGAACCAAAATTTTATTTCCTTATAACTTACCAAAATCTCATAACTTATAAACAAATTTTGTTTGTCGCTCTATCTATGCATGAATGGAAAAACTTAACTACTAAAAGTTTTATTAAAATATATTTAATTAATAAAAGTGATTTTTCAAATAGTTATTGTATTAGTAAAGTTTATATTTTTATTTACATTTATAGATTGGAAAACATATTAGGTTTCGAACTTGCAAGACGTGGTTAGCACTCAAAGTCCGAGAACATTAGAAATTTGCAAAAAAAGAAAAAATAAAAAGTAAGAAATGATGATAACTATTGTTAATATAATGATTCATTGGTTTTAAACATCACCAGAAAACTTGCCAAAAAATAGTTTAGAGACAATTGTGCAAAACTTCAAATACGCAAAAGATCGACGAGTTTCTTTTTTATGAACGATGTAAGAATGTTTATATTAATTGTCAACTTTAGATTTTTTATGTCATAATCTTCAACCAAATAAACCTTGTGTATATGTTTTTTTTTTTGAAAATTTTGTTTCGGCCCCCTAGTCCTGGTGCTCATGTTCCATTTCCATCCCTGGTTATAGCCATCAAGAGGTGGCACAATATTTGAGAATAATTTTTTCGTACTCACATATAGTATATTAAAGATAGAAACTTTTGGTATAATACATAGGTACTATATAGATTTGATTTGTTAGATGTGAAGATTATATATTGGTTGTTGAGACATCTCTCCATTGTTAACTATTATTACACTTGGGATTTTTTGGATTGTATATCACTATATTGTAATCATCACAATTGTCAACCATTTAGGACATGGCAAGATTTTTCTCGAACAATTTTAAGGTTCACAAGGAGGCTAGCTAATGGATCAATTCTTCACCCTTGTCACTAAAGCACAGCGAAGAGACAAGGGAAGATGGGATAAAAGGCCCAAAGGTTTGGGGATAAGCAATAACCTTTTCTTAGAAATAAGGATTAGTTAATCAACTAGGAAGATTAGAACCACACATAAGGATTGATATTAGTAGATTACTATGCATAATTTGAAGGGATCAAGGGAAATGGAAGTACCTCTCCATAACTGGTATAACACCATTGCAAAAGAGAGCTTCTCAGGGATTCTTGATCTTGCACCAGTTTTTCAAGCTCCTGTTTCCGACCCTCTTGAGTTTCCGAATTATATTCAAAATCACGAATCTGAATCACAATGTGAATCATAAAGAAAAACATTACTCAAACTTATCAAATATTATGCAGGAATATCTTATTCAAGAACTCCACAGTGCATATGAGATCCTTGAATCAGAGTCAATATAATGCAAAACAAACAAACTAATTTACAAACTCACTTGAAATCCTCTTTCGCGTGCCTTAATTTTGAAATTGTCAGCATCACGATTGAATAATGTCACAGTATAGAGAGCATACTCATTATCCTCATGTAGATTTTTGGAGGATCTAGGGACCTAGAACATTTAATTCAATCAAAATGACAAAATCAAGAAACTTATAAAGCAGTATTAAGATCAGAGTGACACTACATTAAAGACTGATGATGATGATCTTACCACATAAGTTGTTAATGTTTCATAGCATGACAACCAATCCTTCTGGGAAAACTTGGAGACAACAGCAATGAGAGTAACCAAATGTTCTGAAGTGACTATGTCCTCTGGTTTTACCAAATTGGACAGATCACGAACAGCTAAGCTGGAAAATGAAATCAGTCATGATAGTGAAGTAGAACAATAAACATTTTTATACTCAACTGTTATTGACCACTTATGAGTCATTGGTGTCAAAAGGCATTAATTTTACCTTCCAGTCTGCTTTCTGTTGATTGCATTGAGTTGACTGCGAACATTGTTATACTCAGCAATACGAACCTGACAAAGTGCAAAACAGGAAGCAACAGTAAAGGCTTTACCTACAAAAATGAAAATTACAAGATACAGGGCAACCAATTACCTTAAGGTCATCGTCTATCTTGGCTACTTGAACATGTATACCATCCACAATCTCCTTAAGAGGAGACATTGTTGGATACTTAGCCTCATCCCACACAAATCTACAATCACAAATTCAAACAGATCAAGAACATTCTTTCATCAAATTCAAAAAACACGTACAAGAAATTACTTGGTGAGATATGAATCCACCGGAACCCCATCGACAGTCAAGGAGCTAGCGAGAATTCCCGAAGCCTTCTCCAAATCTTCGATCTGACGCCGTATCTTATGAGAACATCCTTCGATAAACGTATTCGACTGCAGAATCACATATACATCAAATCAAATCATATCAAATCAACCAATCCCCTGATAAATTTTAAATCAATAAATGACCTTGAGTAGATCATCGCTGAGGGCTAACAACGAATCGAGTGTACCAACGCGAAGATTTGGGATATTGAACTGCAAAATTATTCCGATTAGTTTCAGCTATGTAAGATAACAGAACAGAACAGATCTTTCCGTGCGATTATGAAGGTCGTTATACCCTGTAGAGAAGAGTGTCGAAGGAATTTTTGGAGATGGATTCTTGTAAGCGACTCCATAGAGAAGTGGCGGAGCTGTGAACGGGAAGAGAAACTATCCAGTACCTTGTCGCCATTGTTATTGAAGTTGTGAGATCACGAACGGAGCTTCTGATCTTCCAAGATTTAGAGGAAAGAGGGAAAGATATATCTTCCTCTTATGATTGCAGTTGGCTGTTGGTTCCTAAAACACTCGCCTCGTTGAATCCGGGTTCGGGTTTCTGCAACCCAATTTACGCTCCCAGGCGACCCGCTAACCGTCAATCTCAACGCCTGTGTTCGATAACCTCGACATTTTATATTTAGAAACCTCCAAATAAAGAGAAAATCATAAAATTGACCAAAATGGGAAAGATTTTAATAAAATGGTATTTTTTCACTTTTTATAAATGTCCATTGGAGGATGTTAATGTAAACTTATTTTTTATTAGTGATTTTTTTAGTAGTTCCACCAGAAAAAAAACTTTAAAATGAATCATAACAAATTTTAGAGCATTGTAAAATTGTTCACAATATTATGAAATCGATTAAAGTTTTTTTTTATTCCTTTTTGAAGTTTTTTAATGCAGTAAACGTCATCTGAAAATCAATTTTATTTAGTTGTGGTTTGGAATAGATTTTCACACAAAAATAAACGTGTTAGTGTTCCATTGGAGTAACCTCATAATAACAAATCGCAATAAGTTAATAAGTATCCAAACATAGATATAAAAATTAACCCAAACTTAAGTTGTAAAGATTGTTGGGAATTCTTATTTATTTTATTAAGCAATTTAATATTTAGGATATGATACGTGACATATTTTTATTTTAATTAAACAAAAAACATGTCATATATATTTAGACTATGTAATGATAACCTAAATTATGTTGAGAACTTTTTAAAACTGGTATGGAGTGCAAGATAAAAATGATAGACCTAAAGTTATGATAGTTGATAATATCTTTATAACTCTTATAAATTTGGATGACATGTTTCAAAGTAATAAGGAACTATAAATACAATCATCACCTCTAAAAACATATATCATTAATTTTTCAATCAAAATTAAATTACATAAACTATTTACTCACTAAATTTAAATTTGATATACATATCAAACAACTAAACAAGTTATAAAGAAATAAGAATTCTAATTTCTTTGTAATTTCATACCCATATTGCTAAAGTCGTTTTAATTCGGACAACAGTAACCAAATACAAAGATTGTATAACAAAAACGATAACAATCTACAAATATTTGCGTTTTGTCTAAAGAAAAAATAAGCAACAAAATATCCAAAATCATATGAATACAAGTCAAGGAGTAAATTACATGAATGGTCCCTATGGTTTAGGGTAATTTGCGCGGTTGGTCCCTAACTTATTTTTTTAACTCGAAAGGTCCCTACTGTTTGTTTTTGTTACGCGATTGGTCCCTGTCTTACTTAAAAAACTATTTTTCCCTTGATTTTTTAATTTATTTAAATAAACACACCCCCAACCCCACTCCCATCACCTTACCTTACCTACCCCGCCATTTTTCCCTATTTAAGTAATAGTCTTTTTAGGTAATATAGGGACCAAGCGCGTAACAAAAACAAACAGTAGGGACAAAACGCGTAACAAAAACAAACATTAGGGACTTTCCAAGTTAAAAAAACAAGTTAGGGACCAAACGCGCAAATTATCCCAAACCATAGGGACCATTTGTGTAATTTACTCCAAGTCAAGTCCGTATTCACATCACATAAATTGAGTTAACCTTAAAGATCGATCCTGATTTTACAACATTAGGTGACATTGCAGCCTGCATCTGTACAAAACTGTCTCTAAACACAACATCGCCACATCAGCACAAACAATTAATTCTCTCAAGTGTTGTAAAATTAATGTTTTAATTAATCTATCTTTTTTGTTCCTTCCTCCAGTTGTGTCTTCTTTGGTTCCGCTGGAAAATATTTTATTCCCACCATGTCCCCTACTCTGCTTATCACCTAAATAACAAGCTCAATTTTCTCAGTAAAAATAAATTCCCTTAACCAGTAACCAAAATAAAAAATAATAATAAATAAACATAAGTTTATTATTAGTTTATTACCTCTAATGCTTTGACCATATCTTCTCTTGTATGAGCAGCCGAAATACAAATACGCGCTCTTGCCAACAGTAGAGGTGTAGCTGGAAACGCAACTGTCACAACCGCAACCTTCACATCATAAAGTCAACCACACATCATTGACTTCACAAACTAAAATTCATAATCAAGAAATAATAATAAACAATAATAATGATAATGATATAAAGTTTAAGATATACATTCCGCTTGAGACACTCTCTTGAAAAAGCAGGAATTTTTGCAGGATTATAAAGCATGATAGGCATGACAGGAGAATCATTATCCCCTAAAACCTCAAACCCCATTTTCTGTAGCTCAGACCAAAAATAATTACTGTTTTCACGTATTTGTGCTAGCTTTTTCGCCCCTAAATTAAACAAAAACAAAAAAAAAAAAAAAATCATTATGATGAAAAAAAAAAGATAATATAAAGTTCCTGACCTCGACTAGAGCCATCCTCCCCAAGAATAACTTTGATGGCGGATATAATCTGTTGAGCAGCAGGAGGTGATATTGACGTGGCATATAAATGAGCAGGACATGTGTACTTCAAATATTTAATAAGTTCTTTTGATCCAGCTATATAACCACCACATGATCCAAATGATTTTGTGAAAGTTCCCATCATGATGTCCACGTCAGCAGTGTCTACACCTAAAAGCTCACACACACCTTTTCCTGTTTTGCCTACTGCTCCTATACTGTGTGCCTCGTCTAAATAAACATATGCCTGTATCAAATAACATCATTAAATGAATAATAGTAGATAATAATAATAATAATTAAATGAATGAATGACCTTGTATTTTTTGCATATAGAGACTATTTCAGGGAGTTTGCAAAGTTCTCCTTCCATGCTGTAAATTCCCTCCACTACAACGATGATTTTCTTCCATGGCCTATGTGTTCTTGGTTGCCCATCAGCAATGTGCTCCCTCAGGACTTTCTCCAAATGAGAAGGGGCTGCAAAGAAAATAACATATATGAGTGAATGACCATTTTACCCTTCGGTTTAGAAAATCATGATGAATAAGAAATGACACTTTATTTAATAACTGTTCAAAAATTGAGAGTCAGGATGTGATTAAATGACCATTATGCCCTTCTGTTTAGATGTAATTATGGATAACATATGACTGTTTATTTGACTGAATGTGAGTAAATGACTATTTTACCCATCCGTTTAGAAGTAATGATGCATAACAAACGACAGTTGATTTCAATATCCGATAGCTGTTATAAATTAAATGAGGGTCTGAATGTGAGTAAAGGGCCATTTTACCCTTCATTTAGAATTAGAAGTGATGAATTACAAATGATTGTCTATTTGATGATTGTTATAAATTAAATGAGGTCTGAATATGAGTACATGACCATTTTTACCCTTTGTTTAAAAGTAATGATGAATCACAAATGTCCTTCTGTTTAGAGCTAATGGTGAAAAACAATCGATTGTTCATTTAATCAATGTTACAAATTAAGTGAGGGTCTGAGTGTGAGTGAATGACCATTTTACCCTTTTGTTTAGAAGTGACAATGAACAACAAATTACTGTTTATCTGATATTGTTATAAAATTAAAATCAAATGAGGGTCTGAATACACAAAGGGTCATCCATCCACTCACTTAAGTACTTAACCCATTAAGAGTTAAGACATGTTTTATAGATTAAGTCAAAAAGAAACACCCGGATATATTTTCCCCATTAAATCCTATCCCATTGTTAAATCAAAAATAAACAGGCACTTACTGTTATGTTGAAAGACTCGAATGGTGGCACCAGACCCGCGAGCTCCATTGACAATGGAATTGTGGTTGAGTGAATCACTGATTATCAAACCTCCCTGCATAAGTTCCCATCAAGAATGAGAAATTTTTGCACAAATAAGCTAAGAACAAGAACACATACATGTAACTCATATTACAGAAATATATAAGAACAAGAACACATACATGTCTAACCAATACAGGAAGGATAGCAGAGTTAGTGACATATCCCATGCCAGTAACCATAGCAGCTGGTTTTCCAACAAAGTCAGCCACAACATCCTCCACTTCAATATGCAATGCTGTAGTTCCTGAAAGACACCAATCAAAATTAGAAGTAGATACCCATCATCATTGATCAGAATCTCTTACAAAGGAGCTAGAAATGATAAAAAAGAAAAACAAAATTACCTCCTTCCACACGCGTACTACATGTGCTTGCAGAGTACCTCTTCAAAGTCACAGTTACACGAGGTGTGCAGTATTCATCTGCTGCAGCAAATCCAAGGTAGTTGTATGATCCCAAGTTAAGACACCTACTTACTTTTGTAGTTCGCCTACATAATGTGCACAATTTGACAATTTATGGCTAACAGTTATACAAGCCATACGTTTTGAAAATTAGAAGAGACAGAGAAAACTTAAACCAAATCTAGAATCCCAACTGGAAACTGAGAATGTGAATCCAGTCGCTCACTTGAGTGTCTTGTTATTATCATTAGAAACACGCTCCACCACATCAAACCAAGCATCAGGAGGACTTGATATTGGTCGTCCAAAGCAATCCTACATATATACATAAAGGTATCATGTTTTTTAACTCATAAATATGTCCAATCATGTTTTTGTATATGAACTTTTTGTATCAACTTGAAGAGTAAAATCTATGGTGCATACTAATATACCTGTATACGGAGATAGAGGCGGCGGATATAGAAATCTTCAAGCCCTAAACAAATCGGTGCATAGCCCTGATAATATACGCAACATGAAGTTTACAGCATACTACGTTATCAACAGAAAATTTCAATAACAAAAGTATACAGATTACAGACAGAGCCAAAAAACCTGAAGATTGCTGGCTTTCCACCAATCAATGAATTTACGGAAGAAGTCGCGCAATTGACCAAAAGCGAAGAGCAAACCGTAACTGAAATAGGTGGTCAGCGCGGTCAAATATGGAATTGTAATCATGTTCAAGATTGGATCTCCGATCTCCTTCTTGTCAATCTAACGAAGAATGTAAAAATCCTGTCAGCACTATCAATAAACTGAGTCACTGCAAATCGGAGAAATGGACCGCCGGCGCCGGCAACGAGGCGGCTCT